CGCCAGGCAAGAAGCTGGTCAACAGAGAGAGTCAGAACTGGCGACTGGTACTGTATTACTGTAAACCCACAATTCACCCAAACTAACCTGGAGCAAAGGCAAAATCCATGTTTATTTATTTACAAACGCAAAAATCATTAGAGAAGTGAACATCTATCTGCTTTCTGTTCAACATTACATAGTTTATGTTTAAATGCCATTACATATTCATTTAACCCACAAAAATAATAATTGTTTTATTCCAAATTATATTTTATTTATAGTTTATTTTATTAGGGACCGATACATCTAACATCAATAAACTGAAAACAGCAATCCAATGTGTGTACCATTGTGTTTTTAGCAGCTGTTAATTTGCAACACCCGTCCATAGCAGGGCTTTTAAAGAAATAAAACATTAAAACAGTGTAATACAATACGACACAAGATAAGAGGAGGTAAAATGAGTAAATCAAAGTGCAATGAAAAACATGTAGCACTTTTGCCTAGACGTGATCACAAGTTTGTTGCTGAACCAACCAGGACTTGGCATTTCTTTTAAAAGTAAAATGAATGAAAAGTAAAATGAATTGCTATTTGAGATTCATCTGGAATATGTAAGATGTCTCCTAACTTAATTTCTAATTGAAATAATTTAATTTCAATAGTGAGTGTCTTAATAGAAAGTGAGATTAGCACCATTTCACACACGTGTTAAATGGAGCTAATCTCACTTTAACATGAAATAGGGCAGAAAATAAAGCCTGCATAAATACATCTACCCATGATTATGTCCTACCACCATTGTGTATGATATGCAGGATATTTTGTTGTCATGGTGGCGTCTGTCTGTCTGATACCAACTTCCAGTACAGGTAAGATAAGAATGTTGACATTTGTTTATGTACTGTTATGTTTGTACGTGCTATATTTTTCTCTTTTAATGTAAAAGGTTTGTGTATGAAACAATGAATACAAATAAACTGACTATGAAATGCACAAATTATCTTAATAAGTAATTAATTAGCCAAACTGGTCATGTTTAATATACCACAGGCATCTGGATGCTCATCTCAAGTTTTGAGATATCCTGATTTCAATACAGTGGAGGTGAATTTACATTTACATTCAAGAAAAATATCTTCCTGGTTACTCGGGATCATTCACAGCACATGCTGTGAAGAGTTTTATAGGGACTATTTCTTCAATAGAAAGTAGTTCCAAGGAAAAATGTACTGTGGATTATTCAAAATATTGGGGACATTTATTCTGGAGGAATATACTACTGTTGAGGATATACACACAGATATGTTTTTTTCTTCTTTATTTAGTGTAATTTGAGTGAATTGGCCCTTTAATGTACCTTAATTTGGAAGTCAATTTTTGTACCCTTTCCATTTGTACTTTCAAAGTGTGGACAGGCAGTAACACTTTTAGTTCAAGCTGAATTGGTACAAAATTATACCAGAACTTCACTTTGTATTTTACAGGAAAAAAGCAGGCGATATTCTATATTTAGTTATTGTCAATAAATCTCATGAAAACATCAAATCCAACAGTGAATGTATCTACTAACAAGTACCGTGTGTGTATCATGGCCTTATATCTCTTCTTCCTCTGTGCGCCACTGCTGTCCAGAAACCATTAAAACACATCATTGAGCCTCACTGTTGCACTGGGTGACATGTACCTTCCTCACTGTGAACACACACACTGTAATTTATTTAGACTCGGCCCCACATACACTGTCCTGCTGCCCCAAACACTCACTAAAGCACCAGATGTGCATTATTCCACCACTGAAATAGCCCCCGACAAATGCATTATTTCCTCCTGTAAAATGTGTTACAAACTACAGTGACCAGCTGGTTTAGGAAATTGCAGTGCCACAGAAAGCTGGGGAACACAGAAAAGTATTGTGAGAAGAACTGATACATATTTTCAGTTAATTTTGGTCTTTTCATTGGATTTGTTGACACTCAGAAAAATACAGAATATCACCAGCCATTTCCTTCAGTGGTGCTCTGGGGCTCTTTAGGTTAGGTCTGTTGTGGTACAGGTGGTGGTCTGTTTTGTGTTTATTTGATGTTATATTATGTTAGGTTGTATCATGTCATGTTTACGTCACATCTTTGTCATGCTTTCTACTGTTAGTCATGCCGTGCTATGTCGTGCCATGTTCTGTCAGTTGCACGTACGTGCATGTTAAGTATGGTACTGAATGGTGTTGCAGATAAAAGTAACCAAACTAAACCACGCCACAAATTCTAGTTAGACCAAGGCATTTCTTTGCAGCATTAATGGAAACCTCAGAGCAATTTATCTTCTACAGTCCTGGTATGATATGCAATGTGGCGGCAGTTACAAATTCTGTAGCGTAGAGAAACACTCTCTACTTTTGAATATCCAGTAATAACATAGTTGCCGGTTAGGGTTAAGGTCTATATGTACGTGGACCTCGTTCCTCAGTAGCTGACCTGAGCAGCAGCACCTGGAGACAGAGTAGGAAATGGGATCATCTGCGTTAAGACATTCTGCTGAGCTCTCTCCAAGTCATAAATTTCCTTCAAGTGGTAGCTGTAACACTGCAGGCTGAGCCGTCGATCCAGCGCTTCTGCCAGAACTCCTGAGGTCGATGCCAAGTCTCAGCTTGCCTGCACTGGTTTCACTTGTCAAGCCACCAGCCCATAAACTGAATGTAGCGCTTACTTGACGCATCTTGTGGAATGTCTTGGTGGATATAAGTGCCCAAATCATCCAAAGACATTCATACCTATGTAATGAACAAGTTCACTTAATGCAATTCATGCCGTCTCCATTACTGCCGACTTTGTCAAAAACAACTAAATGCACTTGGCCTTTTGTGCAATTACAAAAGTACAACAACGTATCACTGGGCTCTACCCTGTTAGCTTTTTTTTTTTTTAGGGAGCTCCAATGGAAATGGAAAAGGGATGCACATAGAATTTTGATGACAACCAGCTCTTGTTCCTGTAGATGTTAAATGCACTAACTGAAAGTTGCTTTGTAATGTAATCAACGACTCTGTGGATTAAGAGGCATGCTGCTTTTGGAAAGAGATATAACTGTTTTACTACAATTCATTTGAAATGCTCTCTTGTCAATGCTGTGCCCAAAACGAACAATATATCATTTACCTCCGTTGTATTGGAGTGGAGGCAGAAATCTCAGTGACAGATATCTCAAAACCAAACCAAAATGATCTGCACGGCTAGAGGTGCCTGTAAGAAATAAAGTGTGTTTTCTGTATGTGTGACAGAAAAATCTCAATTCAAAAGGCGCACTTAACTGTTGGGACGAGGTCAAAGTCATTGGAGTCAGTGGATGACAGGAGACAGATCAAGGAGGCCATTTACATTAAACCCCAGAGGCCATTTTTGAGGAGAAGAGGGGTGGAGGTCACACCCACATTTGCAATCACACCAGGCTCATGTGATGACTTGAGCCAGCAAGACCATGAGATGTAGTCGAAAGCGCCAAAAGGCTAGAAAGTAAAAATATTTTCTCACAAATTGTTGTTTTTACACTTTGCTATTTGCATGAATTGAACAAACTTGAACCCTTTCACCTTCAGCCAGAGCCTGGCTGTTTCCTCCAGTTTCCAGTCTTTATGCTAAGCTAAGCGGCTGCTGACTCAAGCTCCATATATTGATCAGCCATAACATTATGACCACTTGCCTAAAATTGTGTAGGTTCCCCTTTTTCCTGCCAAAACAGCCCTGACCTGTCAAGACATGGACTCCACTAGACCTCTGAAGGTGCGCTGTGGTATCTGGCACCAAGACGTTAGCAGCAGATCCTTTAAGTCCTGTAATATGCAAGGTTGGGCCTCCGTGGATCAGACTTGTTTGTCCAACACATCCCACAGATGCTTGATCGGACTGAGATCTGGGGAATATGGAGGCCGAGTCAACACCTTGAACTCGTTCTTGTGTTCAAACATTCCTCAAAACATTCCTGAGCCGTTTTTGCTTTGTGGCAGGGCGCATTGTCCTGCTGAAAGAGGCAAGGGAAGTCAGGGAATCAGGGAAGTCAAACTCAAACTTGCATATTTTTTATATAGGCACTTTTGGAAGTGGACAAGCTTTGCAGACCCATGTGCAACAAACTGTGATGCGCTGTGTGTTCTGACACCTTTCCATCAGAACCAGCATTAACTTATTTAGCAATCTTACCTACAGTAGCTCATCTGTTGGATCAAACGTCATGGGCCAGTCTTCGCTCTCCACGTGTATCAGTGAGCCTTGGCAGCCCATGACACTGTCGGGTCACTGCTTCTCCTTCCACTTTTGATAGGTGCTGACCACTGCAGACCGGGAACACCCCACAAGAGCTGCAGTTTTGGAGATGTTCTGACCCGGTCGTGTAGCCAATTTGACCCTTGTCAGAGTCACTCAAATCCTCACGCTGCCCATTTTACCTGCTTCTAACACATCAATTTTGATAAAATGTTCACTTGCTGCCTAACATACCCCTCCACTGACAGGTGCCATGGTAAAGAGATAATCAGTGTTGTTCACTTCACCTGTCAGTGGTCATAATGTTGTGGCTGACAGGTACATGTACTGTTCAGATATGACAGTGGTATCTTCTCATCTAATTCTAGGCAAGAAAGTCCATGAGTTTATTTCCCAAAATGTCAAACTGTATCTTTAAACTATCAGAAACTGTTTTGCAGTACAAAATGTACATTTCAAATTGTATTTCCACATTGTTATTTTTGTGAAAGTTTACAAAAAACCAACACGACATTAATTAAAATTTGCTTTACAAATATTTTTGAAAATAGTTTTTGTGTTCAGTCTTTTTAATAGCACTCTGCTGCATGACTCAACAACACGATTCTGACTCTGTAGGACTCAGTTATGCACTAGCACAGTGAACAGTCACCCTTGGGTGACATCAAGTGGTGAGCAAGAACACCAACACTCTGGTTAGCCTCAGCGTGCTCCTGTACATCAAACTGTGACTGCAGCGCTCCCAGCAACTACACAAGAAAGTGATTGAGACAAAAGAGATTTTTAATATAATAGAGGATATAAAATAAATATACATGACTTTTTCTCATTTAACAGTCATTTGTACAGTGAAATTTGGACAAGGTTGCTAAAAGCAGTTAAATAAATGTTTTCTTTTGTTGATTTTCCTGCGCTGAGCTATTGCTGCCTTATCTATAAATGCTATGAAAAGACAATACATTTAGGCCATATGTATATTTCAAACCTGTACACACACACACACACACACACACACACACACACACACACACACACAGTCCAGTTTCCATCATTTTCGGGGACATTACATTGACTTACATTCATTCCCTGGAGACTTGCTCTAACAATAACCATTACCACTACTTTCCTATCCTTAACCTAACCCATTGGTTCTCAAACTGGGGGGCGGGCCCCCCTTGGGGGTGTAGAGCCACTTCAGGGGTTCTAGTTGTTGAGCAGACCTAAGTTGCATGAATATGATTCATGTGGTGACATAAACAAAGAAAAGTGCTCTGATGTTAGCAGAGCTATTTTACTAACCTGAATCTTGTTTTTTTCAAATGACTGTATGGTTTATAATAGATAAAAATTAAATCCAATCTTGCAGGGGTGGGGGGTGCATGAACTTTTTTTGGCTTATAAAACAGAAAATGTTTGGGAAACACTGCCCTAACCTTAAACCAAGTCTTCACCCTAAAATTTTATGATTTACATTTTGGGGACTTGCATTTTGTCCCTATATGGAAGGCGAGTCCCCACAGTGTGACTATGTAAACAGATTGATGTCCCCACCACATGAGTAATACCCCCCCCCCCCCCCCACACACACACGCACGCACGCACGCACGCAAACACACACATAATACAGAGAGAATGTAGAAGAGTGGACAGACGCCCCAACCTGCAAAGCATTTTGCTGATGCAGCTCACTGAGAGCTTCAGGGAGTTAAGTGCATGTAGGTCCGTTAAAAACGTTTAATCAAACAAGTTGCTTTTTTCTGTAAGATCACATCATTAAAGTTCTTCCACAGCAGTGAAGCGCTTATTGAAAGATGCTCTGATGGGATAGAGGTTTATTGTTACCACGTTTTGAGACACAGGCCAAACAAGGCTTGTTATCTGAATGGCACGACAGGCATTGAAGGCATCGCAGAAACTCTGACTTGCAGATGGAGGGTCTGTCTGTCTATACAAACTGTTGAGAGGGCGACAATAAGTGCTTATGTTCTCCATTGGAAAAAGACAGGCACATGCAATACTATCCAACAGGAAGAAATGTAAGAGGAGAGAGCGGCCTAGAGGTGCACTAGATTTCATATAGGCGTGTACTAATATGTCCATATCTATACACACACAGAGGAGCATCATCTGCCATATAACTTTCAAAGCACTGCCAGAACTTTAGTGTCTAAAGCATTAACATTAAAAACATTAAATACTTTTAAAATTTAACACTAAATATTTGAGCAACAACAGTGCATTAAAAGACAATTATTGTATCAATATCTCAATGAGAAATTCTTAAAATGTGTTTTTATGTACAGCATTTCAAAACATGTGTATAACTGCGCTTCAGTAATGTGTGAGGACAATTTCTATTCAAAGAAAAAACAAGAGCTAGTCCTCATCAGGACTGTTTGCAGTCTTTAGAGGTGTGATACAATAAACTGAAATAAAATGTATTTATTTAGCTGCTAGCTTCCACATTGTGTAAATAACAATATGCTACATCGTAATGAGGAAAAAAGAGGACATAGGAAACAGACCCAAAGAGCAAACAGGAGGTGTGAAAACGACACCAAATAAAAACAATAAAAAAATATCCTGAACAAATTCCCATGACATCTGTAGAAGATGAACGACTAAAAAAAAAGGCACCGTCCACACAAATAAAAACGTGGATCATTATCATTCCTGTAAAAACAGTAACACTGTGGAATATTTGCGAGACAAAGTTGAAACAAACCACAACAAGCCAGTGAGGGATCCCAAACAGCGGCATCCCCTTCATTCTACTGTACATTGAGGTGGCAGTAACACATTCAGTAACTAGACATGATTTCATGTGAGCATATAGAGGAAATAACTCCAAAATAACAAGAAATATAGTCTAGTGATGCCTGCTTTCTCTGACAAAGGTCCTTTCTATAGCTACTATAGTTAAGGCAGAGGAAAGTAAAAAAAAAAGGGTATTATTCATAGATGTATGGAAATAATAAATATGACTGTGTACTATCCATATATATGCATTTCTTTACAATAATTCCTTTACATTTTAAATTGCTGTGAAAAAGGGACACGAGTAAGCGCTGTCTTGGACTACTGTACTCAATATTACACAAGGAATCAATAAACATCACCTGTCAAAATATAATAAAACTTGTCAACTGCAAAACTTAAGCAACCTAAGTGAAAGCTTTAGTCTGGGATTTTTTTTGCATAGGAGATGTTTGACAGAAATTTGTCTCCCGCTGGAGCCTCACTCTCAATAATACTTGTGACACCTCGCTTGTGTAGAGAGGGAAATTTACAAACAAGTGTCTTAACGTATCCTCATTGCTACTCAGTTTGACTTCAAATACACGCACTAGAGGGGGGAGAAAACCTTTGAATAGCTGCTGGTTTTGATCCCCATCACATACAACTGAGCACACTGCGTCTCCCTGGATCTGCCTGCCAGACTGTCTGAACACACAAGTAGACAAGGTGAACCAAACAACTAAAGCAACGAACAATATGATGAAACATCTACATGTGGAGATTCATCACCTGAAGTTTGTCTTTAAAGCTGCATTAATCAATGATTTCTTTTAATTATCAATGGATCAAATTACTATGTGTAAGGTGGAGAAATATCACATGACTCCGCAGTTCCCCTCAGATCTACTGGCCATTTTAAAGTATAATAAATAAATTATTTTGCTTTTCAAGCCTGCAAATCCTGCTTTTATCTCATTTACAGCTACAGGCAGCTGTTTTTGTTATTATTTTCTTATTTATATTCAGGAGTTGGAGACAAAACCAGAGCTAAACGGAGAAGGAATATTGGACTCCAAATTCCTTCTACTGTTGCTCCAGTACTGCATAAAATAAGTAATAGTTTACTGGTACATTTTAACTTTACAGAGAGCTGAAGTGAAACCAGAAGGTCTGGGTTCTGTTCTATAGGTAAGAAAAGATCTGATGTAACGGAAGTTACAAAAAATCCAGCCTTGTAACAAAACCTTTCATACAAAAATATTGGGTTCCCTTTTTTTCTCCAAATAGGTTATAAAAACTATCTTACAGTACACTGCTGTTAATGTAATATTTCTCTTGTTAGCAGCTTCTAACAAACACTGTTTCCATAGCTTACGAGTAGTTTATTTTGGTATGTTATGAAAAAAATCAATCCTTGTTAAACTTTAAGTTCACAAAGGTTTAAACTTTTAATAGCTTCTGATAGTGCTATAGTGGGTGCTGATTTGTCTTGGATGTATGGAAAGTAAACCTCAGGAACACGCTTGATTTTGACAGGAGTTACATAAGTTAGTGAAACTGAAACTAGCCCAGTGGCGACGTCAGGACTTCAGCTCTCTATAAGGTGATAGCGTATCATATAATATTTTATGGCTTTTTCTTCTGAACCAAAATGGCCAAAAAATTATTTAATGCAGCTTTAAATATGGGTAAAATATGCAGGATCCAGTCTGTAAGTTTTTGTCAACCAAACAGCTAAATTCTCAAAAGTCAAAAATCTTTTTTGTTCAAATTGTTCAATTCCATTTTTTAAAAAGAAGATGTGACCTTTTATAAATATGTTAGTTTGGAATAAAACTCTTACGACTTTCCAGATCAAAGTCAGGATTCATGTCAAATCCTGACTTTGATTCAGTTCACCTGCACTTTAATTGAAAGTTTGTTTTGCTTAAAAATGTGACCATGAAACCCGTGACATCGACCGTAATCCACCTGGCTGCTGCAGAGAGCCAGTATGGAACAGCTGGGCACACTGAGGAGTCACTGAAGAGATTTTTACAGAAATAGTCTCCTTCTTAAAACCGAATCTGAGGCAACAGACGAATCATCAATGCATGAACCAAAAGACTTTTGGTGAGATGCAAATAATTATCAGTATAGTGTCATTATGAGCAAAGCAATTGCCAACTTTCAGCATCAGTGACACATGACTGGCATTCTGGACACAATAACAATATGAGTTTTATACTAAAACACCCGTGTCTCAAACTGCTTTAACTTGCCACAATATATCTACTTGCATGCTGTACTGCAGTTTCACATGACAGAGGTTCAGTTCTTTTTTCAGCCACAAGGTGTCAGTGTTTCCTAATCCCACTGCAGGCCAAGTCTGCCTAATAAGGCTCCCCCCTCCCCCAGTCCTGCTGTGTCTTCTGTATTGGAGCAAAGGCATTTACAGTTGAGTCATTGGGTGCATTATTTAATACAACCTGCATGATGACCGGTCATGTGACCCAGCGGGACCAGTGAGGATGGAGCAAAGTTGTGGGGAAACAAAGAAGGAGAAGCGGGATACAATTTAAGCCTCACTTTGAGGTTTGCCCTTGAAGATTTTTTCCAAGTGGCATGTGGTCTAAATTAATTTCAGCGGTGCATGAAGTATGCACATCCTAAACTACTACTACTGATAATACAACAATGTAAAACTACCTACTACCTACCAAAAACTACTTAAGTATTGTCAGCAAATTGAAATAAATGAATAAATGTAGTGAAGCGAAGATTATATCTCAGTATAGAATTACTGAGTAGCATTAAAATGGAAATACTTAAGTTAAGTACCTGCACCAACAAAATTGTACTGTAAAAAGTTTGATATTATAGGAGATGTACTTATTCACTTTTTTGCCAAGTGTTAGATGAGAGGATTAATACCACTCTCGTGTCTGTATGCTAAATATGAAACTACGTACAGTTAGCTTAGCTTAGCACATGTCAGGAAACGGGGAAACAGCTAGCCTGGCTCTGCCTGTTTGCAGACTAGCTGTTGATTATACTGTAACCAAAAATGATCCAAAAGGACAATCAATACTTTACTGTTATTAACTGTTGCTCCTGCCTCCTTGGCATGTACTGAATAACACACCCAATGTCTTTAAATGTGCCCCATTCTCTACCAAATGCCTGCTCAGTGCTCGGCCAAAGGGTCGCAGTGGAAGTGGATGAGCCTTCAAACAACAAAACTCACCACATGTTTGTTCCAGCTCTTTGCAGAACGGTTCAGCGGTCAGTGCAGTTCTAGTAAGTAAAAAGATAAACAACATGCATAAAAAAACATACTGTGCACACACACACGCACACACGCACACACACACTTACAGAGAAACAATAACATTAAAACCTTAAAAAAACAATCTGACATCAGGCAGTAACAGTCTCAAGAAGCAGAAAGGGGGGGGCTGTACTGTTAGCTGCCCTGTACGTTTATGCGCACGTTCGTGTTCAGAAACCTTGAAAGTCCGCGATAAAATGAGTGTGTGAGCAAAGTGTCCACCGGCAGCTCTTGGACAGGAAAACACTCCGGAGCTGCTGGCCACAATCGAGAAGCGTCCAACCTCCTGAAAACGCTGTCATCGTCACAGGAACGAAGCTCGGCTGTCAAATGTTTCTTATCTCTAAAAGTAGTGGAGTGAATCAGAATATACAGGACTTAGATCTGTAAAAAGACAACTACTTTTCTTACTTTCCAAATCCAAATCTAGATAAAGAGAGGTCTAAATATAGAAACCCTATAATAAGAAGATTAAATTGCGCATTTTAATATTTCCCTGCAATTGCATCAGCTAAAGAGCTGATTTTTTTCTGTGTAGAAACATGTGACTGTCTTTTGTTCTTAAAAGGACAGGGTTAGCTCAAACGTTTTCTGTTTTTCTTTTGATTATCCAACGTAATAGTACACTAGAGATGACAGTAAAGAGCTGTTCCTCCTGTGTTTTGTCTCAGCCGATCGCTTCATATGTAACAATATTTACAATGACATCAACTATCAAGGTAAACTTGAAAACTCTAACAAATAAGAGAGAAAAAAATCAAATAGAAAAAGGTGCTATATAATGTACATATATGAATACAGCTGCGATTCTTCCTCGTGAGGAACGTTGCGTTTGTAAGTGCCATGGTTCTCAGTCTGTGTGTGTGACGCTTCACATCTATCTTACATTATTTTCAGTTGTTTAAAAATGGTTCACCAGCCCAACGAGGCAGAACGACTTGTTTGATTTTTTTTTGGTTCCTATGCTTGTTTGCCTTCGTGTTTCAGTGCCGTTGGAGGCTGTCGGGAAAGAGGTCAAAGGTGAGGAAGGGTTGAAAAGGAGGATGGCTGAGTTGCCATGATGTAATGCACTGAGGAAGGTCCGACCAGGATGTGAGAGCGTTGCCTTGGCTGGAGCTGAGGAGGAGGGTGACGTCTGGTTGAAGGAGGAGGAGCTGACTCCCCTGCTGGTTCTCAGGTGACTGGGAGCCTCAGTAACGGTGGGTCTGGTGGGAGTACTGGGAGCTCTGCTGGGATGACGACGAGTATCCCATGGTGCTCTGGGGCTGAGTGGAACCTTGGACGTTGCTTTGGTAACCAAGGCGGGGGCCGGAGTGCTGACAGAGAGAGGGAGGAGTGGAGAGAAAACAGGGTAGTGAGCAGCTCAATGACGCAAACTCTGACCCTGTGTGCAGATATATCATGAGGGCTGATAAGGAACGCTAATGTGTGGTGTGTTAAACTAGTCTTACAATTAATGTGTCCCCTATCAATTAACCTATTTATTACTCATTCATTAAGTAAATTATTAATCCCTGATTAAAGAATTTTTCCATATTAAAAAATTACAGCATGCAACTCCCCGTAAAACCACACGTATCTTTCCTCCACATTTCTGTTTGTCTGATTAAACAAACGAGATACAGCATTTATCTGCTTTAAAATTGCTGTACGGTGCACTTTGGCTAACCAGGCTAACTGATTCCCCCTGCTCCCAGTCTTTATGCTAAGCTAAACTAATCACCTCCTGGTTTTAGTTCAATTTTTTGGTGCAAAGATGTAACAGGGGTATCAATCTTTACGTCTAAAGCCCCCGACATACTTGATTTTTAACAAAGCGTAGGCGTTGACGGCATTGTTCACAGACTTGCCTGCGTAGTTTGCGTGTACCTGGATGATTAAACGTGAATCCACTAGGAGGCAGACCAGGACCGTTGTTCTGTCGATTTATGCTACCTATCGAGATGTGCTACTTAGCGGTTCTGCGCATGCGTACGACCCACAAGCGTGGTCTGTTTCTACACCCATAAATCTGTGCAACCTTGCTGTTGGGCATGCCGGGAGCATTATTTGATAGGGGATATTAATCTATCAGAATAAGCCACAGGGCAGAGCGACTCGATAGACTGCTATCGGTTTGCACTACGGTAGCATTTTTTGACAAGGTAGCATATATCGTCAGTGTTCGAGCTAATAATGATTTTTTTTATACTGCTGATGATCGGCCACTGTCTTGACGGCTTGCCCAACAGCAAGGTTGCACAGATTTATGGGTGTAGAAACAGACCACGCTTGCACATCTCGATAGGTAGCATAAATCGACAGAACAACGGATCATCTGTCGCCGACTCCGGATTATCTTCCTTGACAACCTCCGAATTTGCACATCGTAAACAAACTCTCCAGGAGGTTATGATTTAATGAGACATCATAACGATCTCGGTATTTACAGACCAGCTCCAGGAGTTTTATTGTAAACATCCCGCCATAAATCTCCTTCTTATTATTCTATTGCGTTTAATGGCGGTTGGCAAACCAACTGCATACCACCACCACCTGGGCTGGTGTGTGGAACAGTAGATTGATGCTGCCCTGCCTGTCAGATCGACACACTGCCCCCACGTTCATGTGCTGAATTGCATCTTATGTGCACATCCTACACTCCAAAGGAACGCAAGATACGCGTGGCAGTCATCTTGCGAACGTGTAGTTAAAAGCAAGTATGTCCAGGGCTTAACTCTTGTAAACAAAATGAATCTTGAGTACTTCCCAAAATGTCAAATTATTCCTTTAAGAGCAGTGGTGGAAAGTAACTATGTGCAACTAAGTACTTAAGTACTATATTTAGTTCTTTTGAGGTACTTTACTTGAATATATCTATTGTATGCCACTTTATACTTGTACTTTGCTGCATTTTAGAGGGAACTATTCTATTTTACTGCTTTAGTTACTTTTCAGATTAAAATATGACAAAAAATAAATGATAAGTAGGGCTGGGCACGTTAACGTGTTATTATCACGTTAACGCATTAATTAACACTAACAATTATTTTATCGCACATTAACGCAGTTTTTATTTTATTATTATTAGTTCCCTATTAAGTCCCTTGCTCACTGGCTCTGAATACACATCCAGTCAAACCATGGGTCACAGGAAGGGCGGGATGTTGATCCGCTTGCTTGTTATCAAACAACTCAAACAGCCGAAACCAACATCTGCACCCTGTGTTCAATGTTGCTTTAACGTTACCTGGTCTGTGCTTGTAAAATATCCACCGCTACTTGTAACGTCATTTCAAGTTTTTAACCGAGTGAAGTCTGTGCGAGTGAACACACGCATATAAGACGACCGCAAACCATGTTATTGCACTTTTTGTGTATATAGCAGTACATTTAAATTAAAAGTGCCCAAAACGCTACTTTACAATTCATTATTAAATTTTGCGAGTAACAATGCGATTAATCGCATAAAAATCATGCGATTAATCGCATAAAAATCATGCAATTAATCGCGATTAAAAAGTTGAATTGTTGCCCAGCACTAATGATAAGCTTATAAAACATAAGACATTGCTGAAGAGTTGGGAGCCCTTGATTCAGAGCTCTTAAAGAGAAAGAAGACTGGATATCTAAACTTGCTGCAAAATCAGTGAAGTTACAGGATGACAAGAACCTGGCAGGGTTAGGGGACCGCGGACCTCAGCTGAACTGAATACATGTCAATACTACTCAGTCCAGGTCACATGTGCAATCCTGCATCTGTTTTGGAGAATGAGTAGAGAGTGGTGCATGGTGGTATAGCCTGCGGTGCAGGGATCAATGAGGGGAAAAGTAGGACAGTGACAGCACTGTTAGACAGCGAGCCACCCTCCAGTACGCCAGTCCACTGGTTTATTTATACATCTGCTGAAGCCTGACAGTTACCAGCTGTCTCACATGCAGCCTCAGCCACTGCTATATACAGTATATCTGTATATGAGATTTACTTATACCTGATAGTGTTGCCCCCGTGTGGCCTAGCCAACATAGCACACTCATATCACACTGTGCCCTGTGCTTTTTTCATCACTCTCTCTCCACCGCTCAGAAAACTCCCTCTCTTTGCCCTTGTGATAAGACTGGAGCCAAAGATACAACACATGCCAGAGTAGGAGGCAAAATGCTAGCAGGCACCCCAGTGATTTGCTATCAGCTCTGTCAGCAGGACTCTGTGGAATGTACAGTCTTTATCAGTTAGCTGGCAGGTTGTTATTGTCTGCTGTCAGATTTGTTTTACAATATCTGGACCTCTACTTTGCCCTGACTATCCTCCATTGCTTGCCCTCTCTTGTTCACCTCTTGTCTCCACACTACGTCCATTTTTATATACAGTCTATGGTCTCCACCAGCAGACCTATCCCTCACCTACTAACTACTATAGCTCCCCCCAGTGGCCAAGAGGCTGTCCTGTCACGTCACCAGGCACTAACCATGTCCAAAGCATTCCTGTTGTGCCCAGTAGCAGAATCAACAAAATGACTCCCTCTAACACAGCTAACTTGTCGAATCTGATAACTGTTCCCTGCAATTCAAAACTGACTTTGGGTTGCCACTAATACAAGCATCACTTGTTCAAAGGGTCAAAAAGGATCAGCGTAGAATGTGGACACTATCCCTATTAAAATGGCCTTGGTGAATCTGCAATCACTTTCAAAGAAATCTTTCATTCTAAATGATCTTTTTATCTTTTTTGATTTGGATTTTCTATGTGCAACTGAGACTTGGCTTAATATTGGTGATCTAAGTCCTCTTTCTGAACTCTCCCCCAGTTCAAAAATGACAAATCTATGTGTTCATGTCATGTTAAATCTGTGGTTCATTCCTGTTTTTTCCATCTCAGGAACATCGCTAAGATGAGATCTGTGGTTTCTAAAGAAGAGATGGAGATGCTTCCTCATGCTTTTATTTCTTCTCGTCTGGATTATTGCAATGTGCTGTTTGCACAAATCCTCCATGGACAAGTTGTACAGAATGCAGCTATAAGACTTTTGTCAAAGACCAACAGGAGATCACACATTACACCTGTGCTTAAGGCTCTTCATTAACTTCCAATTGGTTTTAGAGTTTAAAATTTGAACCAATACTTACAGAGCCTTGCATGGTCAAGAATTACAGCGAAACTGCCTAACATCTTACCAATGACTGGTCAAAGCATCAAAAGGGTCTGCCTTGTTCCCTTGATGAATATAGCCTCACACACGAAGCCTACATTTGCCCCTACACTGTCCCCTCGTGTCTCTTGAAAGAGGTTTTAGATGCAGTTGATCCGAGCCTTTTGTCTGTCTCTTTTAAATGTAATTGTTACATCCACTTCTAAACATGCTGTGGTTCAGCCTCTTATTAAAAAACAATCTAGAACCTACTGATTTTAATAATTTAGGCCCATTTCTAAATGCTCTTTTATGTCCAACATTTTGGAGAAGGTCATTCTTTCTCATCTCTCCTCATTCTTAACTGAACACAATGTGCTGGATAACTTTCAGTCAGGTTTCAGGGTACATCAGGGTACATCAGGGTACATCAGGTTCAATCCTGGGGCAAACTTTCTTTTCTTTATAAATGCTCCGATTGGGCTCCACTCTCAATTTACATAATATATTATACCACTGAATCAAGGGGATTCAATTCCATTTTTAACTGTCTAAAACCTAAATGATATTAAGATTTAGCTGGCAATAAACTTTCTAAAGTACTATTATTTAGCACCCCCAACTCAATTGACAAATTATCAAATTATCTGGTCCCCTTGTTCACAAAAGTGCAACCCTTTACTAGAAATGTAGGTGTTATCTTTGATTCGGCATTGAAATTCGACAAACATATAAATTCATCTTCAATTTTGCTTGTTGCTGCAATAAATGCAGTTGCTAAATTGTTGACTTGTACAAGGAAGAGGGAACATGTCTCCCCAATTTTGGCTGCTCTCCGCTGGTTACCAGTCAAACATAGAGTCGGTTTTAAGGTGCTGTTAATTGTCTTTAAGGCATTATTTGGACTGGATCCATCTTAAATTTTGGAATTCCTAACGTTTTAGCAGTCTGCCAGACCCCTCAGATCATCAAACCAATCCTTTTTAGCCATCCCACAGTCTCATATAAAAAAGTTTTTTTTTCTTTGTACAGCACTTTGGTCTTTGGTTTTTAAAAGTGGTTTATAAATAAAACTTGACTTGACTGGACTTGTGTTATACGTGTATATGTGCATATGTTTTCCTCAAATGATGCCAAACACATATTACACACAAAAAAATGACACTGTAAACATTCCTCAACATCTGTCTACATATAAAACATTTTTCACCATCTGTAGTTCCTTGTGAAGATAAGTCTATCTTTAGAATTGGCAGGCCGAAACACAGCTTCATGAAGGAAAGTAAACCTTAAAAATGAATATATATATAACCTCACTAGGCTGCATGTAACAATTTTAATCAGTTTAAAGAGTCAATTCTTTTATGATCAATCATTTTGTCTATATTACCGTAAAATGAATTTTGAATTTTCCACGATTCAATCATTTAGTTTATTTTACAATGAGCACCAAAGTAATATTCATTCAGATTTACCGGCATGGGAAAGGAACTTAAGGCCAGTCCCATATATCGACAGGGTGAGTTCAGGGATTTAAGCAAATAGAAGACGGGCTATTGATTAAAGTTTTACTGGATGTCAGAAAATGCACAATTTCCCAGAGTCCAAATGCTTGTTTTGTCTGACCAACAAAACCCCCAAAAAATGAACTTCACTTCAGCTTGTTCAGAATGCTGCAGCTACAATCTTGACCAAAACATAAAATTGTGATCATATAACTCCCATTCTGGCAGCTCTTCATTGGCGACCAGTGCAAGCTAGAGCTTCTCTTAACCTGTAAGGCCTTACATGGACTTGCACCATCTTTTTTTATCTTTAGCTAATTATGCCATATACACCATCACGTCCTCGTCACTCTCTCGATGCTGGCGAAAATGAGAACCAGAAACAGATAAGAAGTTGCAAATACTGCACAACAAATTCCACTTGTTACACTTTGTTTCTGCACTCAAATCCCATGAAAAGACCAAAACCAACATTGTGTTAGTCCATGCCTAAATACCTTTACACTTCCTTACTCTGCAGCTCTCAGCCCCAAACCTAGTAGTGCTAACTACAGCTGCTCACTGTAGTTTTGAGCAAATGCTACTCAAGCTGGAGTAAACTGTGAATTTAGGGAGTATTCACTCACTACGGAGTATTTCCATCAGCAGGACAGTGTATGTGGGAGTGAGTCTAAATAAACTGCAGTGTGTGTGTTCGTGGTGATGAAAGAACATGTCATCCAGTGCAACAGTGGGGCTCAATGATGAGTTTTAATAGTTTCTAGAATTGTCACTAACCTGGTATTCTGACTGTAGCACCCCAGTGCCTGAGGAGGCCCCAGAGGGCCCGATCCGAGGTTTCTTGTTGAGGGGCCCCTGGTCCTGGCCGTGTTGTAAACCCCCGCCGGTGGTGCCCCCCGTGGCTCCGGCGGTACCGTTGGTTTGGGCCGAGCTCTGCTGGGAGGGGGCCTGTTGGGCTGCCGTTTGCTGCTGGTTCTGGGCCTGAGTCTGGCCTGTCGTCTGCTGGTGCTGTTGGGTCTGGTTCTGCAGACGGACCAAAGGGCAAGCGATAAAAGCTTTGCAAAAGTGATTAGGAGTCTCACTGTAGGGAGTGGGCAAAAGGCAATCTGACTACAAAGCCAAAAATGAGGAGTGGAAATGTTTTGGTTACTTGCTTGTGACAGTCTTTTTGTTCTACCCTTTGTTTGCTGTAATTTTATCTGTAGGCCATTCTTTTCTGCTTCTGTGACCCACTTTCACACTGAGATAACCAAACTGCAATCTAACTTGGCAAAACATAATTATTTCAAGGGTCATGAGATATCGCATTCACTAAAATGGGACAGACAGACAACCCGACAACATAACTTCTCTGGCCATGGCTATCGCCAGCATGGAGGCATAAAATGTTTTATTAACCCCTTAACGCCTGAATGTTTTTACAATAAAAAAATTAAAAAAATTATTTGTGTTTTCATTTGCTTTCAAGCTGATGTTAAATTAAGTGAAGATTGTTAATTTGTCTTTAGAACATAGAAAAGATATAAATTCAGGTATGTGTAGGTATGATGCAAATTAGCGACAACAGCCATAAATGAGAAACCAGGGCAAAAGGTTCCTAGGTTCGTATCAAATATGCACCAACTGGCATTGGGGGAATCCATGTGCTATCTTGGCTTGCAGTCTGAAAGGAAGAGGAATGATGCGAATTCGCGACAATCGGCGTCAAGGGGTTAAATGAAATAGAAACAGCAGTGGTGGGTTTGTAGAGTAATATCTACTATGTCACAACTTTCAGTTCAGTCTGTAATGAGGCTCAGCAGTCTTAGTTGTTGTAATGATTTGGTGCAACCAGGACCAGGGCTATAGAAACAAATTACCGCAAAACGGTACGGAAGTCTCTATGGGACAGGCCTTTAATTCCTTTTGCACAAAACTCTTGCTCAGCAAAGATGGGAAATAAGCTACTATCAAATTGTTTATTTTATCCAGTATGAATATTGCTTATGGATAACATAACAAATCTTTCATTTAGCTCAGAAAAACAGTGCATCTAGGCCAACCTCAAGCACAGAGAGACCAATCATACTAGTAAATCTGAATGCCAAACACATTATATTTATATGCACAATCTAAGCAGGTTAAGCAGGTCTAGCTCAAGTGGGCGATTTATACATAAGGTATAAAAAGGTAAATATATAAGGTTTTATACATACAAAAAACATTTACGAGTCTAAATGAGACTCGGCTTTGATTGAAGTTTTATGGTATGTTTAGTGTTTTTATCCTGGGTCAGTTGATTTCTACGTATAACACCTTGTTTGATTCATTTTGTATTGTAAACCGAGCTCCTCATACACACTCAGATCAGGTGTTTCCAGACGGCAGCTGTTAATGTGATGCAAGAGCTGGGGATTCTCAGACGCTCCAAGAGACGTCTGTCTCTGTCTCAGTGCTCACTTTTTATTTAGATTCCACAACAGCAATCTGGTTTTTAAAACCATGCAGCAAAAACATGTATGTGCTTTGGTAAAGGGCTTTTTCTAGCACACCACTACTGAGATGGGCTCAACAGTGGTGGAAGAAGTATTCAGATCCTTTACTAGTAAAAGTAAAAATACTCCAAATACAGTGCTTGAGTAAATGTACTTAGTTGTCCACCACTGGGGCCCAATCCTGTATGTACAGAGAGCACCTGCCTCTGGCAAAGTCGCAGCTGAATCCCCATAGTGATGTATTACACTGTAAAAAGTGCTGAAAGGACAGTGAAGGTACTGCTGATTCTAATGGGCTGCACCTTTCTTAGAGCCAGTCCTACAGTAACATTTGTAACACAAATCTCTCTATTATGGGTTCATTCTAAAACTGTCCTGATACATCTGTTTAAGATGACACTATCATCAAAAATATTGTAGTTCTCTAAATGTTCATCTTACACTTCTGATAAGCTTCGAAGCTGACCCGACACATTCCACAATAAAAGCACAGAGCCTGAAAAATAAATGGAACTCTGTGAGATGGTCTTGGGGAGAATATTTTCACTTTGAAAATAATCAACTGCCTGAATTAAAGCACCCACAAAATGTTTATTCTTTTTAAATGTAGAATTTTAATACAGCTACAAATGCAGTGATATGACTTTTGCAAAGAGCGACACAAATTCAAGTTAAAAAACGTCAACTATATGGTGGTGATCGGTGCTGATAACATTAAAACCTGTGTTTTCCTTAAACCATGGGGTGGTTGAAAGGTAAAAATGATGGTTTGACTGGATACATCAGGGTGCCAATTTATTAGGGCGCCGACAGTCGGCCCTTTCTGCCTGAACACAGCTGTATAACTACTGAAGCTGAAAAACTGGAAACTATTGTGATAATCGATGAATCAGTTCAAGTCATTTTTCAACATCTGAGGAGGACACATGAGGATTTACTGCTTTTCTCTTTTTTATATAATTGCAAACTGTAACTATTTGGACTGTTGGTTGGACAAAAAAGCTATTATAGACGTCACCTTGGCCTCTGAGAAATTGTGCTGAGCATTTTTTCACTTAAATTCGAAAAAAGAATCGTCACATTAATCAATAACTAAATTAGTCATTAGCTGCAGCACTCATAACTACATAAAAACATGCATATCATGTATGGAATGATATATATTTTATACTTTCTTTTAATGATTCAATATTGTTTTTATTATTCTTTTCAATAAATATTCATGACTTTGCCTGCTTTCATGAGTTCTTTTCATGTGAATCAATTAAGACATCCTTTATTTCTGTGTGATGACATTATTATAGTTATTATAGTGTCAATGAAATCAGGCACAAAGTTCCCAAATAGCTATTAAAACGCACATTTAGATTGTTCTATTGTCTTGTTTTGTTGTTTACAATATAAGCAATAGAAACACAAGCATCATGCAGCATAGTGTTTGTCTTAACAGATAATCTACTTCATTGGCATTTGTTGAGTACTGTTTGTGTTAACTATGATATTATGTTTCTGTGACTTATGATGTTCTGAACAATGTGACAACATAGAAACATCAGTGTTGTCAAAACACAGTTTTGGTTGAATTTGAAGGAGCTTTCATTCTCTCTGTAGTGTGAAATGAGCAGGGACCAACCAAATGCTGGTAAAGTGAACCCAACTTGCTGTACTGAAACAAAATGAGCTGGCCAGTAAACTGTCAAATATATTGGACAATGTGGATATATCCCAGCCACTGCAGCCAAGAGATCAAACTGTTCTGTTATTAGTGTCAGGTGGCTAACATAAATCAGAGATTATAATCTGGAAACCTTTTAAGCTTAACCTGGAAAGGTGGTCTTGCTGCTGCTCTGCTGTTAGACCTAAATCAGCTACTTGTGTTTCTCCAGCTCATGTTTTTCTTCCTCTGTCATTATTCTTTTTGGACAGTAATGCCAGATTCCACAGGCTCACACTGGTGTGGGGTTTGCATCACTTCTAATGCACAGGTATGTCGCAATCTATCTTACACATAATTCAGTGATGTTCCACTGTCTTAAGTGATGTCTTATGCACTTTAAGACAGTAGAGATTGATTGACATGTATACACTTTCTCTCTATATCACATTGAAATTTGATCTTACAAACTCTATTTCACAATGCACTTACAGTTACTTTTCATTAAATTAGAATGCTCCAATACCAATGGTGCTGACGAATCCTCACATCAGGCAACATTATGACCCTTGACAGATGAAGTGAACAACACTGATTATCTCATTATCGTGGTACCTGTCAGTGGGTGGGATATGTTAGGCAGCAAGTGAACATTTTCTCAAAGTTGATGTGTCAGTAGCAAGAAAAATGGGCAGCGTAAGGATTTGCGCGACTTTGACAAGGGCCAAATTGTGATGGCTAGACGACCGGGTCAGAGCATCTCCAAAACTGCAGCCCCTTTGGGGTGTTCCCGGTCTGCAGTGGTCAGCACCTATCAAAAGTGATCCAAGGCAGGAAAAGCACTGAACTGGCAACAGGGTCACTGATGCACCAACAGACCAGCTACTGCAAATTTCTGATAAAGTATAATGTTCTGACAGAAAGGTGTCAGAACACACAGCGCATCACAGTTTGTTGCACATGGGGCTGCGTAGTTGCAGACGAGTCAGGGTGCCCATGCTGACACCTGTCCACTGCCAAAAGCACCTACAATGGGCACGTGAACATCAGAACATCAGGCCTGCTCTGATGAGTCACTTTTTCTTTTACATCACATGGATGGACGAGAGCGTGTGCGCCGCTAACCTGGGGAACAGATGGCTCCAGGATGCATTATGGGAATACCATGCACACCCTTTCATGGAAACAATATTCCCTGATGGCAGTGGCCTCTTTCAGCAGGATAATGCGCCCTGCCATAAAGCAAACATGCCTCAGGAATGGTTTGAGGAACACAACAACCAGTTCAAGGTGTTCACTTGGCCTCCATAATCCCCACTTTGCAATTTACAGAATCTGCTGCTAACATCTTGGTGCCAGATACCACAGGAACCTTCAGAGGTCTAGTGGAGTCCACGTCTTGACAGGTCAGGTCTGTTTTGGCAGGAAAAAGGGGAACCTACACAAATTCACACTATAGCATTCTCTCTGGCCATGGTATATATAAGCCTGGTTTGCATTGTTTTTGCACACATAGTACGTGTCTCTTTTCTAACAGTGGAGTGGCCAGTTAAAATTATTTTCATGCTGTGACTTGTTTTCAGCAGAAATGGATAATTACCTTTTCTGTTTTCTCCTCTGGCTCGTCTTCATTTAGAAACTCTCGTTTTGGGTAGGGGATCTGACATCCAGCAAACACACTACAAGCAATCACAGAGAAGCAGCAATTTAAATGTTCCAAATGTTCTGATTCCACCATGCCAACCAAAACAACCAAAACCCAGTCCCACCCCAAAAACGCAGGACGTAAGACAGGAAAGTAGGTTAAAGCGTAAAGAAGAAATTCCCCATACTTAAAAGGAGTAAATCACGATGGGCCTGTTTTTCTTTTGCTGAATCAAGACAAAGGAAAGATTCTTGCAAAAGTTTACTAAGGCTCACTCAGTGGTTGGTAATGGGTCCTCCAGGAAGTATGGGTCCTGCAGCGCCTGCTCCGATGTGATTCTTTTGGTGGGGTCCATGGTGAGGAGTTTCTGTAGCTGAAGGCAGAGAATAATAACAGTGTTACAGCGTAATAACATTTTTATATAATTCAGTGTCTGCAAAGATGTTTAGCTTCAGAGCATCCATTCCTCTTCAATATAAAGTATAGTCAGAAAGTATTAGGACATGTCTTGCATTGTTTTGCCTCAACTCCAATGCAACAATGAATCATGTTCAAAGTGCTGAGTTCAGCCTTAAGTGAGTTCAAGGGTGTTCAAAACTACTGAGTGAGGTTCACTGGGGTGTGGTCCACATGTTTAGCATATTTAGCGATGCTTAATTTACACAATGAATGCTTGTTTAAAAAATCTCAAGACTGAACTATATTGTCACCATGTACTTTTTTTCATCTGGACACCTTTGTTGGTCTCTCTGGAGCAAAAGGAGGTTGCAGATTTTAACTATAACTGGTAAGTGTGTAGGAGAACCTACTATGCTGCTAAACTCACGTAAAACATGGAAGGCCCTCTCTAGAACCATTATATGCTTTGTCCATTATGGGCTACTGTAGAAACATGGTGGTGCAGCATGGACTCTGTAGAAGAGGACCCGCTTCCTCTGTAGTTGTTCACTGCAGTATTTTCCCAAAATGCAAGTGGGTATACCAACAAAATATTCTGTGAAAGCGTGAAGTCAAAGATCCAACACGACTTACACATGCTGCTGCCTCATAAAAAATAAAATATTCTGCCAGCGTGGTGGCGATCTCTCTTGGCCAGATTCCTGGATGTAACTTCAGTTCTATGAGCACATGCATAGCCTTCTAACGGACTTCGCTATTGGTTTTGAGCACACAGTGCTGTTCAATTAACAGATTCTGATTCGATTTGGAGGTAAGCGACAGTTCTTACAGTACACAAATGCAATGTTTGGCGGTGTGTCAGTGTTTACTACAATCAAAAGGCAGCGCGTGTAGTCATTTTGAATAATGATGTTCTTCCGGTAACACTTATTCTTCTTACTTATTCACAAAATGTTTTGTTTGTATGCCGCCTGGCGTTCCGGGGGAATGCTGCAATTAAAAATGTGTTGACCATATATGCCTCTGTGCATGCTCGTAGCTCACACGGCATCCACGGAAGCCTGCACCACAGTGTTTCGTGTCAGGATAAACAAAGCTCCAGGCACGGCTCAGGCTGTTAGTCATAATGCGGTTCAACACAATATGCAAAGTTTCAAACAACGAGATAAGAGTTTCAAAAGGTTTTTCTTTAACAATTCTTTTAAAAAACAAAAAACAGACAGATGATCTTTGCTTATAGTGTACGTGTGTACCTACCAACAGAAAAACTTTGCTGTCTGGTTTGACTTTATGCTTCTCCATGTATTTGATTAAGCTGCTGTTTGCATACCTGTTTAAAGAGAAAACAATACACTTAAAAAATACTGTATTTTGTTTATTGGTCTGTGAGTTACTGGTGATGGTCAGATCATCACAGCATCCACTCACGTTGTCCTCCTGAAGTCTTTCTGCAGGGTTGGGTACTCAGGCATCTTCCTAATGTCTTCCCAGTCCTTATCTGTAGAATACAAAAACACACAACCAAGCTCATAGTTTCATAAGCATAGAGTCATTGTTTTTATTTTTACCAGCTTTTACAGAAAATACTTTTCAAAATCAAGTTCCTTGTGTGCTAATGAGAGCTTAGAAAATCCAGCAATAGTAATAGTGGAAGTGAGATCGCTTCACTTACTGCACTTTTCGTATACAGGGTCTGGCACTGAAGCTTACACAAAACTAGGCTTGTGTTTGGACACTGTGCTTAATTTGCTGACAAAGACGGACAGCTAATGATCAGACGGTGTTTCTTTCTGAATCCAAACTGTCATTCACACTGTGAAGAACCCGGTCACTCAACTCTGACTGTGAGCAGTGCAAGAGGCTCTGACTGCATCTGTGTGGTGGTCACGTGCAGCTACAAGCCTCGAATAAGGCTTCTTTTTACTTCTAGGGTATGTATTTCTCTTCATTATACTGTGTAATAACAGTATAATAACTATATCGCTAGCACACTCTAATTAGGTAGTGTTAAAGATATACTCACGGATTTTGTTTTCCAAACATTTGTTTTTACATTTATTGCTTTAAACCTTAAAGGTACCATGTGGGATTTTTCCCACCACTAGTAGTCCTATGAAGCAATGTTTTTATGTATGGGTACCTGTTTTTTCTCGTGCAGGTGCATGAGGTGGTGGTAATGTGCCAACAAAGGCAGGGAAGAACTGCTGGCAAGTAAACAAATGTAAATAATTTAGCCTTAGGGTAAGAAAAACCCTCTGCATGTGTTTTATAAATAAGGAAATGTACTTAGGGACCTCTATGATACACGCTAAAGTACACACACTGAATGTAAACATGTGTGTTTGTTTCCAAGAAACCCCACAGGCACCTTAAAGTAAATGCTCAACAGAACTGTGAAATTTTGTACTTCACTTGACTTGATTTATTTAGCACTGAGGCATATGTCGATTTTAGAAAAACGAAACGAACATCCAGCGGTTGACACTTGTCATCTGCTGTGTGTCTAAGTTAATACAGAATCAAAATAGCAGGTTGACACAGGCTGTGGTCTTGACAGTTGTAGTTGTTGTTGTGTGTATTGTGGGCAGACCTGCTGGGAAACCCATGACGCTGAATATCCTGTCCAGCTGGTCATGATGGAAGGGGTTACTGGTCTTGATGTCTTCCTGGCGACAGTGAAAGATGGGCTCGGATGTTAGCAGCTCCGCAAAGATGCAGCCAATTGCCCAAATATCTGGTACACACGCACACACACACACACACACACACACCACTTAGTCTGAGTGTTCTTGAGGTACATTAGCTGCAGTGCACAGACTTTCAAGTCTGAAGGACTTCACATTAAAGCTTTTTACTGTTTTATTATCGGCATGCACATGAGATAAGACCAGGTTTGACCCAAGTGATTAATGATCTTAAATGTAAAAGTGAACTCTTTTGGAATTTCCTCCCCTGGTAAAACTGGAATTGGATTAGATATTAATTTAACAAACAAGCAGGATTTATACTGTATATTACTTGCTTTCTGGCAGAGTTTTATGACGAGATTGATACCAATGTCATAGCTGTTATATATGAAGCTACCTATAGCGGACAGTTAGCTTAGCCTAGCACAAGGGTTGGGAAAAGGGGGAAACAGCAAGCATGGGTCTGTCAAATGGTAACAAAATCTACCTGCCAGCAAAGCTAAAGCTCACCAATTAAAATGTTGTATCTCGTTCATTTATTTAGTGTTTTATTTGGTTTATGACAACTTCTTGGCTCTGAACAGGCAACACACAGAGACTCCAGGAGGTTATTGGTTACGGCCAAGAGATTGTCTGGCTCATAACCATCCATAAAACGTTAAATTGTTGTTTTAAAACTTCAGGTTTTGTAAGGATTAGACAAACAAGATAAAACATGTTAAACAGTGAGCTTTACAGGTGCTGGTAGGTTTTATGCTAAGCTAAGCTAACTGCTGGCTGTATCTTCATCTTTAACTCACAGACATGAAGGTAGTATTGATCTTCTTATCTAACTCTAAAAAGTGTTTTTCCCACAATGTTTAAAAATTCCTTTAAAGCACCAGTTGGTTTTTATGTCCGACCCTCTTCCTGTCACCTTCACACCTCACAGTGGAGGCCTGCGACATTTAGGCTTACGGTAGTGGCTGCTAAGAGTATGAACCACTGTGACGACAGACTGATGGTGTTGTCTCATGTTCCAGGAATGATAAATATAGACATCTAGACACACCCGCTTTGTACCAATGAAGACCGTGGATCACATGAGCACTCAGACCTCAGTGAGCAATCTTCATTCCTATTCACATTGAGAGACCTTTGGAGAACACACTGACACCGACATTATGCTGTTAAATTAAAAACTACTCATCTACTGGTCTGGATCCAAAAATGCTAAATGCTAACAACCAGGGATCAAAGTCCTGAGTTAGTGCAGAGTTGTACGTTCATGGCTGCACACTCATCCACACGAGGGTTTGAGGGTTTGCTTTGTACTGTATGTGACTCCAGACTCACCAATAGCTTTGGTGTAGTGCCGGGCCCCCAGAAGCAGCTCAGGGGCCCTGTACCAGAAAGTCACTACGACGGGATCAAGGTCCGCCAATGGCTTGAGGGGAGAGTTGAAGAGTCTAGCGAAACCCATGTCAGCTACAGGATGTGTGTAGAGAAGACAGACGAGGTTAGCAAACAAAGGCATTATCAGAGAGTGATATGAAGTGACTGCAGGCTAGTCCCAGGCTGTCAGGGCCAAGGCTCCTAGCGTCTCAGATGGCACCTCAGGCTCGCTAATCTGCCAAAGATCCAGAACGTAGATCCTGAAAGTGTCAGTTAGGTTTCAGGGATGAATAATTTAACAAAGTACAAACACCATAGCTAACCCTGAAACACCTACAGCTGTTAAAGTAGCACCATGCAATATGTTTTATGTAAAACACATCAGCGCTAGCTTAAATAAACACAACTTCTAATAATCCCACTTCAGAATGCTCTAAATAAATCTAAACTCTCATACACAATACATTAAGAAATTATGTTGGGAGTTGCAGTATTTCATTCTTATCTTTAGTCCAACATTTCACTTGTAGCACACTTTGATAAATACAGGCCTTTTATTTTAGGAATGTACACTTCTTTGCCAGGAGGTAACAGCTCAAAACTTAAGCATGACATGAAAGCATGAAAAAGCATTAGTCATCCAAACAGAGGAAAGAGTGAGTTATCCAGAGAAAATTAAAATTTGCCTCTCCTTCATGTTAAGTTTCCTTTATAAAAATTATTCACATTCATTAAAGGTTAGGGTTGAACCACTATGGCTAGTAAACACAAGCGTGCATATCTAAATATATAAATTAATACAGCCAGCATTCCAGCTCCATATAACAATAAAATAACCTCAATAATTCTGTTGCTTGATGGACTGCTGTAGTGACTTATATATCTCCTAAACTGTGAACTATCTCCTGTTGGAGCAGCCCTGTGCAGTAACAGTCAGTGCAGAAAAATACTCATCAGCACCAGATCTAGTTTCACTGAAACAATAACCTAGTACTATTACTGTGTGCACAGGGTTTAAAAATAGACTCCAGCATTACCCTTCAACATTCCCCTGGAAAGCTGGCTTATGTAACAGCACTGATCTGCGATCCCCGTTGACCTCTCAGAGAGAAGGTTAAACGCTGCAGCTACTGGACACTCAAACAAGTCAAAAGCCTCGCTGATCCACTGGCATGAGTAGTATCTGCTATGTGTATCAGTTACAAATACAGTTTACAGAGATATTCTTTTATCCGCCTTACCGATTTTCACTCTTCCTCGTTCGGGACCTTCCCCCATCACCAGGATGTTAGCTGGTTTCTGGAGGGAACAGAAAAATATTAGATACTCTGTATAAAACAAACCATTAAGTTCTCAATTGAATATACAAGTGTTATATGTCTAGTATAACAGTCACATGGGACAGTACTTTCAGAAATACACCCAATTTCAGTAGATTCTCTTTAACAAACAGCAAATGTTGACCAGGTGTACTGGCTGCCCAATACAGACTACTGAACCTATGAAACGATATGACATCATGAGCATTAGGTCTGTCATTTTACGAGGGTGCATTTAAACCTCTCAGCCCACACAGGAATAAGGTCAAACATACTCAAGCACCTGGTCACATAGGTCTGTTTTTTGACGAGTAACTTAATGAAAATAAGCTTGTGGGAGTAGAAGCTGGCTTACCGATCCTACTGACCTAAATGAAAGGGAGACAGTGGTGTTTAAAAACGGTGATGAAAGTCCTGCATGCTCTGTTTAAGGACTTTAAAGTTTAAAGCTGCATTAATAGCTTTTTTTTTGGCAACTTGGGGGAAGTGGAGGAAGCTGAACACACAGCACCTTATTAAGTTGTTAAGCAGAAGGTGTTAGAAAACAATTGCTTATTTACACATCAAGCAGACACTAAGCAAAATTAGCATTTATTTGGAGTCCTTTTTTAAAAGGTAAGTCTAGCATTTCCTCTCCATGTAACTAAATTCTAACTCCCTTTAGCTAGTCGCCAGTTTTGTCTGTTGTTTGGTGCTAAAGCTGGTAGTGTACAGCGGATTCTTAGCTTTTTCCCTGCAAACTGCTGCTACTGCTGATGAGAGCGGTGAGAGTTGATGAACAGAAATGCTGCGAGGTGCAAAAGCAAAAATGATACTAAAGAGAGATGAGGGGAACTCCAGAGATGGTAATAATTTCCTGTGGGTTTGTCACATTACACATAGGCATGTGATCCATGTTGATATAAAAGCTTACTTAAGGCAGCTTCAAAGCTGGATGTATAAATGTTTGGGCCATTTTGCTTAAGCTGTAAACACAACATTGACCTAATAGCACCATGAAATGTAGTTTTTGCAGACATGTTAGCAAACATTTGTATTGTGCAGAAGACTCACTGATTCCCAAACAGTCTCTTCATTTGGAGTCATGCTTCTGGCCACTTGACTAATCCAAATCCAATATTTACCTTTGTTTTATATCTGGTTTGCTCTCAATCAACTCCTGAAGGAAATATCTGGCTCTTTTACCAATAAAATGCTTCGCTATGTTCACTAGCTAGTCGCTAACTTTGTCTGCCCTTAGGTGCTAGGAAGGTAGCATACAGTGGGTTTATCAAAAAAATGTTTTTACTGAAAATAGCAGCTGCTGTGGCTAGAATCCAGGTTGATGTGAGCGCTGAATCAAAAAAGTTAAGTTGCGTGCTGAAAAACCAAAACCATGAGCTGACAGATACTAAAACGCTATGTAGAGCTGAGAGGAACTTGTTGGTGATAGTTCCTACTTATGTGTTTCACAGTACATGTAGTAATTTGATCCATGTTAATATAAAAACACTTAGTGCAGCTGTAAAGCTAGATTAACTTGGATGCAGTGCGACAAACCTAAAACACAACATATTATTGCCTCGTAAAGTCGTTTACACATTTACACATCCTGCAGACACTGAGCAACATTAGCATTCATTTGGTGTCATGTTTCTGGCCATTTGGCTAATGTAAGTCCAATATTTACTTTTGCTGAATTTCCCATCTGGGGAATGAGGTTGCCGAATTAGTGGGACATAAAACCATGAGCTGAAAGAGGCTAAAATGCTCCGAATAAGCGCTGAGGTTATCTGCTGAGATGGATCGTTTCCTGTGGGACTGCCACCTTTCACATTACACAAAGTCATTTCATCCATTGTATAACAAAACATATTGATTCATAATTTTAATGTAATAATGTTATTTGTGATTTGAGCAGCATGAGGAAGCCACTGGTTTCACTGAGGGCCACATGGACACAAAGACATTAGGTTTTAACTCACTGCTTTTCCCACCAATCAGCAATAACACTTCCTACATATAATTATGTGATGCAAGTACTGTGTTGTTATTCACTGAATTACCCAGTGATATCAAACAAACAGGCACACTGCTGAACATTTAATGCAAGGAAAAATGTCACATGGCCCATGTTTTTTTTAAAGTTCACAGTTGCCTTCTCATGCGGTGTGATGCTTGTCGTCAAACAATCTGTTAATTCTCCATGGATGTCTAGGCAAATTTGAACCCTCTGGCTCGGCGGACTCAGATCTGTCATGCAAACACGTCTTGTTGCTATAGAAACAGTGCTATTAATGAAATCTTTTATTCCCGCCCACAACACGACATGCGGCGATCGGCAAACACAAAGACAATCGTCTCTTAAAAGGCCAGAGGAGTTCAGGCTCACCAGCTCCTCTTTCAAATTCTAAACAGGCCTTCTGAATTATTACCTCTGAGTGAGTGTCAGTGCCTCAGTGTGCACCATAACTGCTGAGGAAAGACGTTATTGTTTCTAATCACAAACAAAAATATATGTGGAACTGGACAAGCGAGACCAAGTGAATCCACAGTTTAATAGAGTGACATTAATTATGGTAAAAATATTGCTACAGTATGTGTTTAAGATATAACTAGTGTTATTCTGCAATATGTAACAAATTGTGTTTCACACCCAGAATTGAGACTTTCTCTTGAATTCATCCAGTGAAATCAATCAGTTACAGTTGGTTGGTTTCATAAATGCATCAGGAGCCGAGGGAAAACATAGCCTCCATCCCACTGAGGAACGGTAAACTCCTTAGAGACATGGCCCCTTTCTACAAAACCATCTACATCTTTGTCTAAAAAACTAGGCCAGTTCAGGAGCCAGAGGCGTACTTATTATACAACAAATGGGCAAGATGATAAACATGCACTTTGTCTCAAAAAGTAATTTTGGAATTTGTACAGTCAAAATTACTGTAAATTTTTTTTTAAAAAGAACACACACACACCATCATCTGCAGGCTGAGCTAGTTGACTTCTCTGCACACCAGCGGCCTGTTCTACGTAGCGAGGTAAATGGCTTATTCAGGTAACTTCAGGAGTAACTTTGTGATGTCGGGTGTAACTTGCTGATTAACCCGTGCTACGAAAGGTGGATAAGTGTTATACAAGGTCTGTTGCCATGGCAATTTACGCTGCATCTCTAAACTGTTCCGAGCAGGTTTTGTTCATGGTTAACTCGAGGTTACCCTGTGTAGGTGGGCTACACACCACATCTGTACTCAGCGTTAATGATGAGTAGTAGGCTATAAAAACACACCACTTGATAAAATATGTTTAGATTTCATCCTGACTTGTTCCACTGCAGTTGCAGCTGAAATTATGTTATTTTTTAACTCAACAGCATTACGTTCATACAGCGAGCCCTGCAGCCTCAGTGATTTTAGGGAGGAGATCTTAATTAATTAACGGGACAGTTTCTTAGATGTAGCCAATCTGAAAGCTATATTTAATTCTCATAAGTGTTTTCACATATTTAGATTGACTATTTTACTTGTCCAAAATAACAAAACCAGGGTGGGGGTTCCTAGATTAAAATTTACAAGAATAAACTCGGAAATTCCCTGAAATTAATGTCATAACAATCTAAATCACTCTGGGGTTTTCTTCTGAATACGCCCAATCCACGGCAAAGTCTCTACGGTGCATGATAATATAGTGATTGTGGGCTAAACTCACGAGTATTTCCTCACTGCTAAATCCGATTGTGATGTATAATATAACTTTCACTTTCAACTAACTCACTCCACTCTCCGTCTTTTTCTTCAGCTCTATTTTTTATTTTTTTGTTTCCCTTGGTTATGACTATCTTTTTAATGCCCACAGTTCATGCACACAAAACAAACTGTATGCAGTATCTTTTTAAATGTATTAACTTTAGGTAAGTAGGACATCACATGTTCAAAGGCAAAAATGTGTCAGTTTTCCAAGTGAACTGAACAGAAGGTGTGAAAGCATTCAGACCTCAGTTTTCTTTTTCAGCTAAATATTCTATAACCACCAACATTGTATTTAATAAGTGATAGACATGAAACCCTTAATGACCTCACTTATTTTTATTACCTATAGTTATTACTGTCAAGAGTAGGTTAGACAGTAATTTTATTAGGAATTAAATTATGTATCCATACAAATTAAATAAATAATAATAAAACAAGGCCTGAAGAGGATAATCGTCATTGTTCATTACTATGTAATGTCATTCCTGTGTTAACTAACAGTTATTAAAAATGTATTGATGCATCATCAAACAGCAATGCTGCAGCTAAGTTCCCTTTTTTAAAGGTGTAAGGCTTACACTAGTAATAATTTACAGTATCCGCCCCTCCCATCCTCATGGGTCAGTCATGATAACAGCAGCATCAGCATCCTTTGTTGCTGCAGTACTGTACATATACAGTGTAGTACATAAGGTTTAGTCTGGATTTGCTGCAGCGACAGATCCCTTTCAGTGACCCCTCCCCTCCCGAACCCCATTCCCCAGAAAGAGATTATTCGTACAGTCCATTCAGATGCTTTTTGCTTTGGCCTGTAGAGCTGCTAAGTCAGCATCTTGACTCAGCTAGCCATGCAGGGCGGTGGGCTTGGCCCTAGCTAGAGACTGTTACATAACCCTTGAAGGGGCGCAGGGGTTGGTGCACCAGGGAGAATTGAGTGGAGGAGTGGCAGGACAAGTGGGGGATGGTAGCTATGCAGTGGTGCAATGCAAAGCACATGCCTGATACCTACAGAGCAGGGACGCAGAGCTTGCTGCACAACAGCACAAACACACAGTTATGTAACAGCAGAAGTGCTGGGGCTGTGAAAGATGTGCTGGTAGGAGCACCTTTCCTCACAGCTAATCAGACAACAGCAGATTACACGGCTTGTTGTTCCACCTCTGATACGTATAAACAACATAACTTATGGCAAGACTTGAAGCTTTCCTATAAACCTTTGAAAGCAATCACAGGCCTTGGGGGCATTTTCCAT